ATCGTGCCCTGTTGTACGTTTGTAGTCCAAGGGCGAGGATTTCGATGAGGGAGGAAGCAAAACCAAAAACACGCATCATCTTCTGACTGGAATGGGCCTGGGGTTCATAAACACCTGGAAGGAAATTGGCCTGTCAGTTCACATGGTGAGGGATATAAACCGACAGACAGACAGATGGACAGACAGACTCCTTTACCCTGCTTGGTCATTCCCAGCATGTATGAATAGAGCTGCTGGAACGGGAACTGGGTGAGGAGGGAGATCAGATCTTCCTCACAGAGCAACAGCCAGCTGCTCTCTGGGTCCTCATCCTAAACACAGAGAAGAAGTCATAACAGGCTCTCCTACTCTTTACAGTTTATTCAAGGCAAGATGCAAAGTGGAGGCTACTATTGTATTAAAAATGAAAATAAGTTATTATTAAAATATTATGTAATACTTAAATAACAGTATCTTAAAATGTTAGTTTTTCTAAATAATATTTTTCTAATAATAAGGTTCTCAAAACAAAGTGGTTCCTAAGCAACCCATTAGTACTGGCAGCAGACGTAGTTTTAAACCAGCAGACATGATATTTAAATGGTCATAGGTGTTCATTTGGCACCCTTTTTACAACAGCTTTGAATGTGACAAAGACGAGAACAATCATCATCTACAAACCTCAGTGACACATCACATTTTCTTGAGAGCATCATAGTCACGGAAGGAGAACTAAACAGATAATGTTTTTGCCGGGGAAAAATTCTTACTGGTCGCTTCTTATTCCATTACTTTTGGATAAAAAAGGGACATATGCACCCTGATGTATTTTATTGTTGAGTGATTATGTATGAAAATAAATTAAAAATAAATTTTACTCAACAAAGGTGGTTCTGTTTTAATAATCGTACAGGTTTAATAGATGATAAGACCCATAGGTCAGGGAGTCAAAACGCCCAATATATTAACTTTGCCCACATCATTTGTGCTGTGGAAGTTTGGCTTCTTTTATCAAAATGCACCCTACACATACCTCCTCTCCCCCTTCATCCACTAGTGTCCAGTTGCCAGACTCGGGTCCAGAAGCTGCTGAGCTCTGGGTCTCACATGGCTTCAGATGTCCCAGAAACTCTGCACGGTGCCTGAGTCAAAACACAGAGACCACTGCTAGTTAGACCCTGAAAGGACCTGGATTCTCATGGAAACCCACAGACATAAAGCTAGAGTCTGTAGTTCACAGTCAGTGGGTAAGGAAAGGGGCTCCTATATTTACCTGGCAGGTGACATTAGGATGGCCAGCGCTTGCATAAAGTGCTGCACTCCACAGGTGTTCCCCCAAACTTGGATCTGAAGCAGAAATTGGGAAGAAAACTCAGGTACAAGGTAAACATTGACCTGACAACAATAAATTAAAGACTGTGTCCCCAACTAACCTGAAGGAAGGGTGCAGCCCACTTGCCAACCCCGGCAGGACAGCACAGAAGATGGCACAATAGGTACAGGTGTTCCCCTGACCCTCCAACACGCAGCAGGACAGCCACCTGGAGAGTGGACCAGAACCATGTGAGGAAACAAAACAACAAAATACCTCAACCAGTAGAGTAAGAAGTGGTACAGTGTTTGTGTGTGTATACCAATCTGTCCAGCCAGTAATGGATGTCTGTCTGGAACTGTGTGTCATCCAGGACTCTGCGTGTGAAGCTAAATAAGACGCTGATGGCCTCTTTCAAGGGTTGAAGAGAACAAGGCTGTGTTTGGCTGCCAGAACAATCTAATAACAAAAAAACAAACACAAATCTCATACAGGTTATGTACTTAATATTAGTATTATGCACGAGAGGCTTGTTTGTAAAAGGCATGTTATGGCTACTTCAAGTCCAGTAGAATTTATATGTCTCTCACCTTTTAGTAGACGATACAAGTATGATTCCACCTGGAGGCGTGACAGCAGAGCAGTGTACGCATGTAGCGCCACCTTCTGATGGAGCAGCTCACTGCGAGCTTCAAACAGTCTCCTCAGCTCAGCCAGCACGCTCTGACTGAACTCTGCCTGCTGGAAGCGGTGGTAACCACACACCTTAGACTGATCTGCACACACACCCTGTAAGGAAGAAATTATATTTGAAATGTCATTACAGTTTATATACAGTTTCTCTACACACTATATTTCTACGTTTTGTTTTAACTACCACACCTGAAGTGTAAGCTGCTCATCTCGGAAGCTCCAGAGACGATTCTGTGTGCTCTTGCAGTCAGAAGACTGTGTGTGTAGCTGTGTGTGTGACTGGGTCAGCTGTCTACGACAGCGCCAGTAGTTCTGCAGCAGTTCGGTAAGTTCATGGTTCTCCTGCCGGGCTAAAGCACAGAACTGGGCTGCACACACTTCAACACCCTCTAACCAGGCTCGCAAACCTCCGCCTGGCTCCCAGACACTCAGCTGCTCCAGTGTGAATGGCTACAGAAGAAAAACATTAGGGGAGAGACATTATCTCTTAAGTTGATGCATGTTTATATGTAAGGACACAATGAATGTAGTCAATTAATAACTTTGTTATCATATGGGTTTGGGCAATATTTGCAAAATCAAATATCATACTCTCTTATATATACTAACATAATGTTTTTTTTAGAAAGAAAATCACAAATAATGTGGATACCATAACCAAACAGGTAGAGGCAGTATTTGTTTACTCAGCTAAAACAGTCTAATAAGCTACAGCCAATTTGAAACAGAAAAACATAGATTCAGCCTACATCACCACAATACAATAAGCAAAACCATACAACAGTTAGAAATGGTGAATTAATGTGCAGTTGCGTTAGAAAAATGACTTCTGAGTGCTATTTTGCTACTACCAATGCAGTCAAATTGTAAAGCACAGACTTTTAAATGTTATTGTTTCAGGGAAGAGATATGTATGGATTTTCAATATCGTGGTACTTGACTACAAACAAAATGTATGTATAATTAACACTGTAATTTCCATTTTCCATTTCAAAGAACGCACAACTGTACATCACATTCTTGGTTGAGATTACCTGGATTTCTGGAGCTGTCTTGGGTAATTCTGGGTAAAGTTTACTCATGGAAAGTTCAGCTACAGACTCCAGAGGCTGTAAATTTGGAGGGGAAGACTCCTGCTCAGGAAGTGCCAAGACTGCAGGTCCCTTTTCCCGATTTTTCACAGCTTCCTCACAGAGCTGTATCACGGGGCCCTCCTCCAGGGTTGGGAGAGCGGGGTACAGCGCAGGGGCACTCGGGGCGTTTGGGATCTGAAACTGAGTTGAAATACAAGGCTGATTCCAGGTCTGTGAGTCTTTTTCCATGTCAGCGGTCTGTGCTGCAACTTTAAGCTCAGCCCCCTGAGCTGCCACTCCGCCATCCTCCTCTTTTGACTCTGCCAGATGCACTGTACCCTGCGACGCCACAGTTGCCTGTAAAGTCTTAGTTGACACTAATGTGGAAGAAGTATGTGATGAGGAGGTCGGCTGTTTCTCAGAGGGAAGATCTGATGGCTGTGCTGTGGTCTCAGGGGGCTGAACAGGGTCCTGCTGCTCCTCCTCTGGCTCCTGATACGGGAGACTGAGGGGGATGTCAGTGAAGTCGGAGGCAGGGGCTTCATCACAGACAGCTGAGGGAGCTGTGGTTCTTTTATCTTCATCTGCCTGCTTCTGCTTCCTCGCCAGCTGGGGAAAAAAAAACATGCAACAAAAAATGAATTATCCTTGGTTAACAACTCAGCCTGTGTCGCAGTTTTCCACATGTGACAGAAGAGCAGACATTATGTTGGGTTGAATACTCTAAACTGTCCAAAGTTAAAGTGAGAATGAGTGTGTTTGTCCTGTCCCAAGACCAGTACTGGCTGGATTGCACCTTCAACCTGGGACCACAAAAAGGAAAAGCACTTTGTTTAATCACCTGAGATTTCCCGCTGGTTTTTCCTTTGGTCTTCTTTGGTCTTACAGCCTCCATCTTCAGTGTCTGCTCACACACCACTGCTCAGCTGAAAACAAACAGTCTTCATGCGTAAAGTAACGTTAAATACGGCAAATAAACAGCAACCACTAGCTGGGAGAGCCAGCGAGGTGTAGCCTGTGATAAGCAGCTAACCAGTGGCTGGCTGTGGCTGTCCAGATAAACACTCACTGGTTGTAAACAAAACACTCTCGTGTGGCCGGTTGAGAAAAGTTGCAGGAGGAGGATAGCGAGCCAACAACTAACATGTCTCTTAGCATTGACACACTACCCAGAGGATACATTTTTAAAAAAAATAATAAAAAGTCTCTGCTGATGAAACTGAGCTCACCAGCCACATAACAGAAGACGCTCTGCCATAGCTAAGCTAAGCTAAGCTAACGCGTAGCTTTTGGCTATTTACGCTGTCTTTCTCCTTTAGTGTTTTATTCACCAGCGTTTAAAGCTGCTCTGTATTGTTGCTCGGGTTACTAACATAGGATTTCAACACGTCGAAGCAAGTGACAAGCGGTGGAGGGTGGAGGGTGGAGGGTGGCAGCCCACCGTCCGCTGGTCAGCTGTCATTTGTTTTGTTTGTTCCAGGAACTCAGCGATCACAATCTTTGACCACGTGACTACTCCACCTCTCTACGGAAAGCCAGAGAGCCCAAACTGTGTCATAAGCGCACACATGCACAACAACATGTCACACTTAATGTAGTTGGTTGAGCTTTATTCATTTAGGAAGTCTCCCTGAGGTCTCTAATGTAAGAGAAACGTGAGAACAAATTATAGACTAGACACACTAAAAAATGATCACTATTATAATTTTAGTACAAAAACAAGTACAACTTTAAAGTCCCTGTGTCCCTGACCAGTACAGAGCTGGTGTAATGAACCTTAAAAGATAACATTACCAGGGATCTGGTGTCATAGTGGTTCACTCTGATCTCATGCATGAAAAATAACCAACCAATTTATGAATTCTCAATCTTGTGAATGTAATAGATTACATTTTAAGTACCTTACCAGTTCCAGCAGTGTTCATATGAAGGGAGGACACGAGTAACAGAATAACATTTATTTACAAATGTGTAAATTACAGTTACTTTTAAAAACATTTTCCCTTTGAATTGCATTAACTCTCACCACCTGACTGAACCTTAAGACACATGAATGCTTGAGGCCTACATGCATTTTATCACAAAGAACATAGTAAGTGTTGGCTCTTATAGTTATACAGTAGCTGCAGTTAACCTGCCCAGCCATCCTCTATACTAATCTCCTTCATATATGGAAATTAGACTGAAATGCTAGACAGAGAATGAGGAAAGAAGAGGGAGGTGTGGAGGAGTACTGAGTTGCTGTTATTTGAAGCAGTTCCTTGGGTAAATCATTAAAGTTTTCAGTATTTTTTACAGTTGACATCGTGTATCAAAATATACCTCTTAAAAAAAGGCAGCATACATGAACTTACGTAAAAGCTAAAGCAGTAAAGTCGAGTCCTCCGCATACAAAACTAGATAGAGGCTACAGTTCAACTACAGTTCCGGCTCATTGATTTAAATAATTTGAATGCTGTATTTCACGTGGTTGAAGTTGCAAATACACTCCACACATCTGTATGTCTTCATTCTAAAGTCACAAAAGAGTTTCTATAAGGTTAGAGCATTATTAATACACAATATTTGTAAGTCTCATGATGAAAGGACTCTTATGTTTACAGTAATCCTGCAGGCCATGAGTATGTTCTGTTCTTCCAAGCAGATGTCAGATCTTGAGTGGCAGACTTTTATCTCATTCACAGTCAAATGACAACTTTTATCGTCCATCTTCTACCTTCTGCTTGAGTCTATTCAAAGTTATTTATAGGCACAAAAGTCTGCTGTGAGTGCAGGACTGTTGGAGGGCATGTGTTTGCCAGAGGTTTGACAAACTGTTTGCTTTGTGTTTTTATGGAGGGTTGGTGAAGGACTGCAGGATGGGGTTATCTGGACTTCTGTTTCCTGGCTGTTTAATGTGTGTAAAGGAAATTGGTCTTGCATGTATGTGTGACTCTGTGCCTGACTGAAGGCCTCAGGTGCGTGGTGAATGTATGCTTGACTCAGAGCCAAGCTGAGGATCTCTGTCTTTTCCTTGTAGAAGCGCAGCTCTATCCCTCGACGCCGCGTCAACACCAGCTCCCTCTGCGCCACCTGCAGCTCCTCCCCGAGTCGCCCCGGTGACCTCTGCTCCCGTCCAAGCCAATCCAGAGCCAAGCTGCTGCGCATGTACTCGCCAAGTCCTCGTCGAGAGTAATAGGTAATCACACTCTGAGGGGGAGGAAAGAAAATGAGTAATCATCATTATGTAGCAGCAGAGACACTGATGTGTTATTAAAGTTAGCTGAAACCAGGAATTAGATTATGTCCTGTACCTGTCGAGAGCACTGCCTGTCCCTCAGAGCCTTCAGAGTCCCATTCCAGTGCAACAACTGAAAAATTGTCATCATCTCCTACAGAGGGAAAGAGAGGGAAAGAAAGTGGTTCAGAATGAGACATACAGAGAGAGAGAGAGAGAGAGAGAGAGAGAGAGAGAGAGAGAGAGAGAGAGAGAGAGAGTCTTGTGCAACCCCATAAGTAATGACCTGAATAACAAACCTGGCTCTGTGTACATAGGTCTGACAAAAATAACATATTATGTGGACATTTCTTGGACCCACACCTAAACTGTGGATGATTGGTTTGAAAAGATAATGTAAATCTTTTTGCACCAGGTAAGTTTCACATCAATGTCTGGCTGAACAACTGCCATATGTTCAGAGCTAGTGACATTAGTGTTAAACAAAGGGAATCTATAGATCAACTGAAATTGACCCTAATGACACACAGATGGAAAATATGACACGTAAGTTGTCTGAGGTTGAAGTCCATGTTGTATCTGTCGGCCTGTTTGCTCTGTTTCCAACTGTGCATGTCCCTGTACTGGGCCAACTTGTTAATCTACCTGACTTCCAAACTATTCGACGCCTCCTACACTGACTGAATGTATAAATTATACAAAGCACTGACAGCTGCATACCATATGGTTGGTGCTGTGTTTGCAGAGAATTGAATGTATGTGTGTGTATACATTTCAATGTCTGTGTATATATGTACATGTGCGTACGTATGGAGATGTGTGTATTACTTGGAAACGATTCATCTCTTTGAGCCATGCTTTAACAGGAATGATAATGAGCCCATTTCCTCTTGTTAATAGCCCTCTGTCTGCAGACATATGCTTATTTACACAAAAGGTAGAAATATTAGGTGTTTCATACCATGACTCCCTGTCTGGATCCAACTGAGAGTGAGATGGAATGGGAATGAATAGGGGTGTAATGATAACAATGGAGGGTGGAATTACCACCCAGAGCTTGTTGTTACATTGGGCTTAATCATTTCTAATTATGTGAAATGATAATGCTTTAATAGGGGGTCCAATTATCAATACACTATTTAAGGTCCCTTCAAAGTAGCACTTTATAAAGCCTGAATCATTTGAAGTAAATACTGTAGTTCTTTTACAAAATTACCACATAGCCTTACATGATTTATGAGGACAGTTATAAGAAAAATACCATTTTACAAATAGGCCTTGACTTTATGCTTTACCTGGAACTCCAGCATGGTCCTTCCTATGTAGGAGTGGAGCAGCAAACTGTAGGTTCCTATGCTGGTGCTTGAATCACATGCATCTTCAACAGACACCTTTAGAGAGACAACAGTGCAGCAACATTCATGTTCAGACTAAACATTCTCCTTCTGTGGCATTCCTACAGTCTGCCTTGTAACAAGGTGTAATGTAATTGTATGTTTGCACTGGCTCACACTCACAGCACTGTCTGTGGCTGCCTGCTGCAAACTCTGAGTGATGAACTGAGGGTTGATTCGTCGGCAGGGCAGCTCGTTCACAAGTGAGTTCATCAGAGCCACGCGAGCTGCATCCCTCCGAGCCTCTGCCTGAGTGTCGCACACCTGAGGATGAGGAGGGGATGTGCACAAAGCATTAAAATGTCATAAAAGAGTGCAAAAAAAGACAGGGAAAGGATATGAAACTTCAAACAGAAATTTCAGGGTGTGCTGATATGTGCGAGCCAAGGTCGACTGATTTGAGTCAGTGAGCTCTGTCGGTTAACAGGCGCCCACTCTTAGTTCCGTTTTGATGATTTTACACTTCATTACAGCTAATCATGGGATCAGAACTCAAATCATCAATGAGATTAGGACATTAGAGGCATTCACAGATAACCTATCACATGCCTTCTCCGAGCTGGGGGCTGCTGTCTGGGTCACAATGAGCCTATTAAGAGGCATTGTGGTATTTAAGAAGAATGACACCCGTTTATATACAACCTTTAAAGTGTGTGACTGTTTTTGTAATTTGTCCCCACTGAATGGCCTTCAAGTGCTGCTTGTAAGCACCTTACTCTGAATGTGAAAGTACAAAAACTTGATCCTGGGAGCCGTTCTACTTTTTAATTTTAGTTGAGCTCTATTTTGTGTGCTGCAGCAAAATGAAGGGAAGCAATAACAGAAAAAGTATTATTACTATGTATGTGTAGTAACTAGTAGTAATTTGAAACAACAGACATACTAGCCATTTTCCTATAATAAGAAATTGTAAGTTGATGATTTGTTTTTCTTACATTTATTATATTTGCGGTTGATTCAGTTTCTATTACCAAGACATAAACATCAACTGCATGTATCTGTAACTCAAAAACATCCATTTTTAGCTTATGTGTGGTCTCACCACATGATGGAGATATTTCCAACTTGAAGGATAACTGGTGCACATTCTCACTGACACAACGCAGGCAGGATAAATTGACTACCAAGTGTAGAAATGCTGCCAGACAACACTGATGATGATAAACATACCTTATAATTGCCAAAGCAGCTTCCTCCAGGCAGGGTGACATAGCAGATGTAAGGAGGGCCAGGGGACGGTGCAGACTCATACAGCAGCAAGCTCTCTGTCTGGATGGCTGCATCCCCAACAGAACCATCAGATTCACTGGAGGAACCATTTGACTGACTTATCTGCCTCTGCTCCCAGAAGTTATGGAGCATGGCCACTACATTCACTGCACACATATAATAAGGACACATGTCAAAATATAGACAATGCTGAAAGAATACAGAAAGTAAATGGTAAATGAATGCATTTGATCAATCATGACTGACTTTTAGTACGTAGAACATTTTGATAAGTTTCAGTCTGAGTAAACCTGTAAAATATGTGTAAATGTTGACCTAAATATACAAGCCAGACATCTGTAAATCAGCATTCCCAGACACTGATTATTTAAATAGAAGTAGGAGATGGTGGTACCTCCCGATAACTTATACAGATCGGCATTTTGTAACCCTTTCAGCCTGAAATAGGTTTAAACCTATCCTGTGTCCTTCACTGTGTGCCAAACAATTCACAACAGCTCAGTCTATGGCAGCAGTGATAACTTGACTGATATTTCTCAGAGGCATATTTTTTTAATAGTTAAACAATTAATTACTTGCCTGCATCATTGTCAGGTCAGTGGTAAACACAGTGGTAAGTTGTAACAAATGTAACCCTTATATCTAAAACAAAGATGTGTCTTTTTTCCAAACATTACGCTTCTATGTTACTCACAGTCTTTGGGGCTGGTGTCAATCTCACTCTGTGACAGGTATGACATGATGCTCTCCTCCCCTTTCAATTTACTCATCTTCGTCCAGGGTTTACTTCCACAGCTTCCTCAGTCACGTTCAGTCCACTTTTCTCATCAAAACGACACATATGACCCTAGAAATGAGCAGCCACCACCGTCATCACAGCACAGGATGGGGACATCATGAGGAATAAACTCAAAATCTAAACTCCACCACTAAACTCCCTTTCTCCTCCTCCTAAACTCCCTTACTGCCCTCCTTCTTTTTCTCCTGTGTGAACATCTCACCAGGGTTTCTTTTTTGAAGCGGACCACCTTTGTCACTCTCTCTGCCAATTAGCTCAGAGGGCCCCTCACTCTTTCTACACACACACACACACACACACACACACACACACACACACACACGCAGAGGTGCAGAGCTGGAATGCTGAGCCCCTCCCCTTCTGGCTGTGCAGCTGGCTAATCCCTGAACAGAGTCGAGCAGTTAAAGACCTGCACAAAGTTGGCAAGTTGAACCACAGACAGCACAGTACAACATCATCACAGAGGAAGAGGAAAAATAGGAATAGTTCTGTGTTAAGTCCGGTATAATACTGGATGCTTCTTTTTGTACCCGTAGTGTTCAGCATCTGAAAGACAGCCCTACCCAACATGTGGTGTGTGTGATACTTTTGACTTCACATACTAATTTGAGGCCACGGAGCCCAGGGTCTGAGCTCCATTCACCCACTTCAATATGAATGGCCATTGTTCAAGTCTGAATTCACCCGCCTTCTGAAAGCCCCTTACACATAAATGAACCAAATTCTGAGAAAGAAGTGGTTTCTTAGCTCCCCAATTCCTCTGCTTTCTCATCTTTTACATGTCATGCCTCACTCTGTATTGAGTTGTATCTGTGACAGAGAGAAGGGGTATGCGTGTCTATTTCCTGCACCCTTTCACACTGAATGTATTGGAGTGTTCTGGAGCATGTGTGTTCCCACATGCTTGAGTCAGTGTCTACTTTTTTGATTGGTTGCTGGGAGGGTGGAGGTAGCTTTCTATTCAAATGACCATAATAGTTGGAGACCTTTGAACCACAGCAGTTTAGCATAAATAAAAGCTCTCCATGAACTTGCATCCTGTTTAAATCTCAAATCCACACCCACATTAGTCACTGTCAGCAGTATAGTCAGACCTAGAATGAACCTGAAACTACAATAATAGAAAAAGTTACTCAATGGGTTTCTGTCTTTTGTAGCCATCTTGGAGGTTGATATGAGAGTATTTATTAAAAAGAATATGCTCGCCTGACTAGCAAACATGTTTAACACAGGTGCATTTGATATCATGTTATGAACATGTTATTTCAATTTATTTGTTAAACCATCCTTTTAAATAAACAGAGAAAAACACACATCATCAGTAATGTTTAAATGGTTTAATTATCAATTACAGGGATTCATTATGAATAGTCAATATTTACAATAGACTGTATGCTGAACATGAAAGTTCAAAGCAGTTCAAATAGAAAAGAAGTTAGAAGTTTCGTCATTCTTCTCTTGGGTATTTTGCATGACAGAAGAGTTGAGTTGTTGCACTGTTTTCTGAATTTTCCCATCAACTATGTTTTCCAACCTCCAGACAAAGGAACAGAGTCCCATTTATCCCCAGAAGGAGGCGCCCTCCATACTAGACTTGATGTTACTTTGGTTCTCTCTCCTGGATTTGGTCACCAAGTTGGCCTCTCCCTTCTGCAGACGTCTCCTCTGTGCTGCCTTCTGCTGTTTGGTGAGCTGCCTCCGCACCTTCTGACGGACTTCCTCCTGCAGGGCACACAAAAACAACCACAGCAGGTTACTACAGACGAATGTACGCACTGGAGTCTCCGCAAGGCAGACACAACAGTATGTAGACAAGTCTCTGCTACAAGTCATCCATCACACACTGACAGACTGCAACACAACGTGAAAGCTCTTTAGCAGCACCTAGAGGCCATTCTAGTTTTTGACCAAAACTGTTTACTAGGACTGTTACAATGTCTGGTGTAATGTCCAATTCGGCATTCAAGTTAGAGCACTTGTATTTTGTAATGGTACTGAATAGGAGTATGTGTAGACAGGTGTGTGTATCTGTTTTTTACTTACTGGTGGAATGGTAGAGCAGCTCCCTATGCTACCCATTGTGGCCTCACTGTCTGTCCTCCTCCTACAGTGTTCTGCCATATGTAGGAGACTGTCTGAGTCTCTGCAGGAGAAAACACACAGAAAACATCAACTGCTAGTATGACACATTGTACAGAAAGGCAGAGAAATTCACTGGTACACTATATTTTCTGTCAAATGTCTCAAATTTCCAGATCTAAGAATCTTTGTTGGCTATGTACCACAGCTGAAGTATTCAAATTTAGCACCATCTCATCAAACATGCTTCATTTTGGATACTTAATAATCTTAACTTTCATCGTGTTTACCTGAAGGGTTTGAAATCTTTGTTGGCTGTAGAAAGGTCTGCCAGCTCTGGACACTCATCCTCTGCCTCATTCAACTCTTCCTTCGCCTCATTTAACTCTTCCTCCAAGTCCTTCTCTGTCTCTTCATCACTTCTAGCAGTCGGCGCTGTCTCATTCTCTTTTTGTTCTTCCTCTTTTTCACCCTCTTTGTCGTCGTTTGGTAAATCTGCTTCTGTGTCGCTGACTTTCAGACCTTCCAGTTCCAGCATCGCATGCTTATATTCCTCCATATCCACGCTCTCTTCTTCTTTTTCTGTTTCCTCGTCTGATGCCTCTTCGTCATCGCCTTCCTCCTCACTATCTTCCTCTCCCTCAGGTCCAGCGGGGTATAGCAACGCACCATCTCTCTCCAGATCTTTGGTGAAGCCGCTAGCTGAGACTTCGACATCTAGAGAACGAGTCCGTCTGTAGGAATAAACAGTGATCACAAAAGATCTTGTAAGAATAGTTTTCACCTCCAAATTAATTTTTTTTAATCCACGTAGAGAAGCAAGATAATTAACAATACACAATGTAATATATCTAAATGTTGTAACAATTAAGTTGTTCAATCTGAGAGCTCCTCTGAGAGGAAAGTTACTCTACACGTCTAAAAAGAACACCAACACGAATTTCATTGTATTTTAGGATTTTTTTGCAACCAAAACATAAATGAGCAGTTACCTGACATCTTTGAAGGTTGGGAAGAGCTCGCTCTCATAATTGAATCGTTTTGCGAAGAAATCTCTGATACATTTGACATCTCTGTCAAAATACCTAAAAACAAAGTTTGGAAAAGTGAACATAATCGCACTTAGCCGTTTGTTTTATTAATTTCAGGTGTTGAGTCATTTTCAATTTTATAACAGTGAGACCAACCATTCAGCATTAAGATGTGAGGTGGAAACCATTTGAGGGAAGTCAATCATAGTAATGTGGTCCTGGTCATCCAGCATAAGGTTGAACTCGTTAAAGTCTCCATGGATCAAGCCATTGTTGGCCAGTTTGACTATGAGCTCCATGAACTCGCTGTACAGGGCTGATGGATCCTGCAGCTCATGCACCTGACACCTGAAAGAGAGAGACCATACACACAAATTAAACAAGAAAGAGAAAGGAGGAACAATTTACTATTACTCGTGAAATATACAAAGCAAGAAAGAAGAATGACTTGTTTACATACAGTGGATATCCATTGATGAGCTCCATCACTACGGCATGTCTGTTATAGTCCACAGGTTTGGGAACGGGAAAACCCCGATCGTACAATGCCTGAAAAAATGATGAGATGAAAAAGATGCACCAAACAAAACTGGGGACATTGTCTTTCTATTCCACGTAACTTTCATACTTTCTCTGACTCGTTCCATTACCTTCATGTAGGCAAACTCCTTCATGGCAGAAAGGCGAGAGAGGTAGAGCCAGGACATGTTCTTCCTGTGTTTGTGGTAATCTCTCTTGTTCTTCAGGTTCCTGAAGGAGGTGCGACCCAATCTGTGAAGCTTTAGAGCGTACTGCTCCCCGTTTGGACTCGCCACAATATATATATCTACAGGAGGTGAGCACAAAGATATATTTGCAATAACATGAAAGTTTCTGACCTTGACTAAGCAGCCTGTAAACCTGACAGAGAATAGATGTCGTTTACATTAACACACAGGGAATCATTACCCACGTGGGTTCTGCTGAGCTGTCTTTTCAAATACTACAGTTAAATTAACAGTATTTCTTTCTGTTGTCTTATGTTTGGGATTTCTTACCTGACTCTTTACCCACACCCATCTGGTTGCCAACTGAGATGATCACTTCTCTGGAGCACAAGGTCTTTAGAGCCAGGTAGTCATATCCTCCGTAGTTCAACCTGTAGCCCTGCACAGCTGAAATCAGCATACACATGCACCATTAGTAAAATAACCTACATGCACCGGGGCTAGTGAGGTTCAGCAAGCATTCCTGTGTGTTTTCTTACCCTTGGAGCGTTCGTAGGCCACCAGTTTGTGTCTGACGAGCTCTCTGAGGATCTTGTTGCAGCCGCCGTGTTTGAGGCTGGCGATGGAGGACAGGAGACTCACTGGAACAATCTCATGGTTCTTCATCCCCATTTCAACCTGTGTGAGGGAACGTTCACAGGAATAAACATAATCTGATCACGAGAGTGCTGAAATGTTACAAATGCTGCAAGTTGAAAGATTAATTGACATGAAATAGATAGATAGATAGATAGACACTTTTTTTTTATCCCGAGGGAAATTCAAGTATCCAGTAGCATGCAAATCGATGCAGAAACATACTTTGACACAATAGAAAAGATCTTATCGGCTCTTTTATGAGAAAGTCAGCTCGATTAATAATATAATGCTGTATATAATGCTTACTAATGCTTCGATATTGAGCATTTTGACATCTGTAAGTCCCCTAATATGGTGGAAATGCTATATTAAGGCAGTGGAGTAGCCTTTTTTTAAACTTTCTCCATTTATTTGATTGATATAAACATTGACTTGCTTGATCATCACGCCCCCCATTACGACTATACAGCAACATAATGAACTATAGCTCTTGTTAGTTACATATTCACATGCTCTGTTACATTCTACATACGGCGATTTGCTGTTTAACTTCAGTTCTTACTAATAAACACCCACCTGTCTACACTGACATGTTGTTTTCACCCTCTGCAGCTGTTAATGAGCACTCAGTTAATGTATGTAACTTACTGTGTATGGTACAGGCTAACCCTGCTAACGTTACTCGTTATCTCGCTGCTTACCGCTGTGAGGACTCGGAAGTCATCTCGAGAAAGGTATCTCAACACCACGACATTCAGCTTC